TGGTGGGGGGGGGTTGGTGTGGTGGGTGGGGGGGTGGGGGTGATGGTGGTTGGGGGGGGTGGTGTGGGTGGGGTGTTGGGGGGGGTGGGGGGGGGGTGGGGTGTGGGGGTGTGGTGTGGGGTTGGGGGGGGTGGGGTGGGGGGGGTTTTGGGGTGGGGGGTTGGGGGGGTGGGGTGGTTGGGGGGGGTGTTTGTTGGGGGGGGGTGGGGGTTGTGGGGTGTGGGGTGTGATGGGGGGGGGGGGGTGGGGGGTTGTGTGTTGGTGGGGGGGGTTGGGGGGTTGGGGGGGGTGGGTGGGGGGGGGGGGGTGGGGTGGGGGGGGTGTGGGGGGGGGGGGGGGGGGGGGTTGGGGGGTGGGGGGGGGGGGGTGGGTGGGGGGGGGGGTGTGGGGGGGTTGTGGGTGGGTTGGGGGGGTTTTGGGGGTTGTGGGGGGTGGGGGTTTTTTTGTGGGTTGGGGGGGGGGGGGGGGTGGTGGGGGGTGTGGTTGGGGTGGGTGGGGGGTGGTGGGGGGGGTGGGGGGGGGGGGGTTGGGGTGGGTTGTTTTTAGTGTGGGTGTGGGGTTGTGTGTGGGTGGGAGGGGGGTTGTGGGTTTGGGGTGGGGGTGTGGGGGGGTGGTGTGGGTGGGGGGGGGGTTAGGGTTGGGGGTGGGGGTGGTGGTTGGGTTGGGTGGTGTGTGTGGGGGTGTTGGGTGGGGTGGGTTTGGTGTGGGGGTGGTGGGGTTGGTTGGTGATGGGTGGGTGGGTTTTGGTTGGGGTGGGAGGGTTGGGTGGTGTGGTGGTTTGGTTGGGGGGGTGTGGGTGTGGTTGGGTTGGGGGGGTGTGTTTGGGGGGGGGTTGGGGGTGGGTGGGGGGGTGGGTTTGGTGTTGGGTTGGTTTTGGGGGGGGGGGGGGGGGGGTGTGGGGGGGGGTGTGTGGGGGGGTGGGGGTGGTGGGGGTTTGTTGGGGGGGGGGGTGGGGGGTTGTGGTGTTGGGGGGGGGGTGGTGGGGGGGGGGGTTGGGGGTGGGTTTGGGGGGTGGGGTGGGTGGTTTGGTTGGGGGTGTTGTGGGGTGGTTGGGGGGGGGGGGGGGGGGGGGGTGGGGGGGGGGGTTTTGGTGTGTGGGGTGGGGGGTGGGGGTGGGGGGGGTGGGTTTGGGGTTGGGGGTGGGGGGGGGGGGGGGGGGGGGGGGGGGGGGGGGGGTGGTGGGGTTGGGGGGGGGGGGGTGGGGGGGGGGTGGGGGGTGTGTGTGGGTTGGGGGTTGGTGGGGGGGGTGGGGGGTTTGGGGTTTGGTGGGGGGTGGGGGGGGGGTTGGGGGGGGTTTGTGGGGATTGGGGGTGTGTGGGATGTGTTTTGGTGGGTGGGGGGGGTGGTTGGGTGGGGGGGGGTGTGGTGGTAGTGTTGGGGGGGGGGTGGGTGTGGGGTGGGGGGGGTGGGGGGTTGGTTTGTGGGGTGTGGTTTGGGGGGGGGTGGGGGGGGGGGGGTTGGTAGGGGGGTGGTTTGGGGGTGGGGTTTTGTGTTGGGGGGGGTGGTGTTTGTGGGGGGTGGTGGGTGGGGAGGTTTGGGGGGGGTTGGGGGGTGTGGTGTTTGGGGGGGGGGGGGTGGTGGTGGGGGTGGGGGGGGGGGGGGTTGGGGGGGGTGTGGTGTGGGGGGTTGGGGGGTGGTTGGTTGTTGGGTGGTTGTTGGGGGTTGGTGTGGGGTGTGGGGGGGAGGGTTGGGGGGTGGTTGTGGGAGGGTGTGGGGGGGTTTTGGGGTGGGTTTGTGGGTGGGGGTGGGGGGGGGGGTTTGGGGTGTTGGGGGGGGGGGTGGGTTGGGGGGGGGGGGGGGGGGGGGGTTTGTTGTGGGGGTGGGGTGTGTGGGGTTTTTGTGGTGTGGTTGGCTATGGTTAAGGTGAAGGTGGGGGGTTGGTTGTGGGGGTGTGGGGGGTGGTTTGTAGGTAGTTGGGGGGGTGGTTGTGTTGGTGGTGTGTGGGGGGGGGGTGGGGTGGGTTTTGGTGGGTGGGGGGTTGGGTGGGGGGGTGGTGGGTGGGTTGGTGGAGGGGATTGTTGTTTTGGGGGGGGGGGTGGGGGGTTGTTGTGGTTGGGGGGGGGGTTGGGGGGGGGGGGTGGGGTGGTTTGTGTTGGGTTGTTGGGTGGGGGTGGGGGGTGGGGGGTTGGTGGGTGGGGTGGGGGGGGGGTTGGGGGTGGGTGTGGGGGGTGTAGTTTGGTGGGGGGGTGGTGGGAGGGGGGGTGGTGGGGGGGGGGGTTTGGGGGGGGGTGGGTGGTGAGGGGGGGGTGGGTGGGGTGGGTTGTTGTGGGGGTGTGGGGGGGGGGGGTGTGGTTGGGGTTTGGTGGGGTTGTGTGTTGGGTGTGGGGGTGGGGGGGTGGGGGGGGGGGGGGGTGTGTGGGGGTTTTGGAGGTGTTTTGATGGAGGGGTGGGGTGGTTTGTTGGGTTTGGGGGGGGTGGTGGGGGGGGTTGGGGGGGGGGTGGGGTTGGGGGTTTGAGGTGGTTAGGGTAGAGGTTGGGGGGGGTGTTTATGTGGGTTGTTGTGGGGTTTGTTTTTTGGGAGTAGTGTGTTGTGTGGTTGTGGGGGTGGGGGGTGGGTTTGGGGTTTGGGTGTGGGGTGGATATATTGTGTTGTTGTTTTGGGGTTATTGGGGGGTGGGGGAGGGGGAGTGGGGTGGGGTATGTGTTTTTGTAGTAGGTTTTTGTTTTTTATGTGAGTATTATGGGTGTTTTATGGGGGGTTGGGGGGGGATGTGGGTGGGGGGGTTGGGGGGGGTGGGTGATGGGTGGTGGGTTGTTTGGGTGGGTGGGTGTTTTTTGTTTGTTGTTTGGGGGGGGTTTTGGTGGATGGGGGTGGGTTGGTGTGGGGTTGTGTGGGGTGGGTGTATTGTGTTGTGTGGGGGGGGGGGGGTGGTTGGGTTTTTGGGGTATCTGTGGTTGTGGTTGTTAGAGGGTGATGATTTGGTAGGTTTGTGTTGGGTGGGTTTTGTTGGGAGGTGTATTTTGGTAATGTTGGTGTGTGGGGTATAGTTGGTGGTGGGTGTGGGGGAGGAGGGGGGATTGGTAGGGTGTGAGGGGTGGTGGTTTGGAGATTGGGTTGAGTGAGATGGGGTTGGGGTTGGGTTTTATTAGGGGGTTGGGGGGTGGGGGGGTGGGGGGGGTTATTTTGGTGTGTGTTTGGGGTGGGTGAGTTTTTTGTTATGGGTTGGGGGTTGGGGGGTGTGGGGGTGGTGTGTGTGGTAGGGTGGGGTGGGTGATTTGGGTGTAGGTTGGATTTTAGGTTTGGTATGATGGGAGTTGGTGGGGGGGGGGGGGGGGGATTTGGTGGGAGTTGGTTTGGAGTTGGATTGAAGGGGGTATGGGTGGTAGGTTGTGGATGGTATGGGTGGGGGTTGGGTGGGTTTGGGGGGTTATTGGATGGGTATGGGATGGGATATGTTGTGTTGAGGGAGGTTAGAGGGGTTGGGGAAGGTGGGGGTTTGGGGGTTGGGGGTGTTGGGGGTGTGGGGGGTTGGGGGGTGTTGGGGGGGTGGGGTGTGGGGGGGGTAGATGGTGGGGGGGTTGGGGGGGGTGGATGGGGGGGGGGGGGGGGGGGTTAGGGGGGGGGTTTGTGGGTTTTGGGGGGTGGGGGTGGGTGGGTTTGTGGGGGGTATGGGGGTTTGGGGGTGGGTGGGGGGGGTGGGGGTTTGGGTGGGTTGGGGGGGGGGGGGGGGGTGGTGGTGGGGTGTGGGGTTGGAGGGGGGGGTTTTTTTGGTTGGGGTTGGGGTTGGGGGGGTTGGGTGTGGGGGGGGGGTGGTTTTGGGGGTGTTGGTGGGGGTTGGGTGGGGGTGTTTGGGGGGGGTGTTGTTGGTGGGGGTGTGTGGGGGGTAGGGGGGGTGTGGGGTTTGTGGGGTAGTGGTTTGTTGTGGGGGGTATGTTGTGGGGTGGGGGTATTTGGGTGTGTGGGGTATTGTGGGGGGTTTGTATGGTTGGGGTGGGTGGGGTGTGGTTGGGGGGGGTTGGGGGGGGGGGGGGGGGGGTGGGGGGGGGGGGGGGGGGGGGGGGGTGTTGGGTGTGGGGGTTTGGGGGGGTGGTATGGGGGTTTGTGGTTGTGGGTGGGGGTAGTGGGTGGTGGTTTTTTTTGGGGTATGGGGGGGGGGGGTGGTGTTTATTGTTGTGGGGTGGGGTGTGGGGGGTGGGGGGGGTGGTGGGGGGTTTTTGTGGGGTTGTGTGTTTTGGGATGGGGGGTGGTTTTGGGTGTGTGTTTGGTGGGGTTGGGTTATGATAGGGGTTTGGGGGGGGGGGGTGGTGTTGGGGGTGGTTGGGGGGGGTTGGGTTTGGTTGGTGGGGGATGGGTGTGGGTGTGTGTGGGTTGTGGGGGTGGTTTTGGGGGGGGTTTGGGGGTGGGGTGGTGGGGGGGGGGGGGTTTTGGGGGGGTGGGGGGGTTGTTGGGGGGGGGGGTGGGGGGGGGGTTGGGGGGGGGGGGTGGGGGGTGGGGGTGGGGGTGGGGGGGTGTGGGGGTGGGGTGTGTGGTGGTTGGTGGGGTTGGTGTGTTTGGGTGGGGGGTTGGGGGGTGGGGGATAGTTAGATTGGGGTATGTTAATGGTTTATGTAGGTGTTGTTTTATTAGGGAGGTTTGTATGTTTGTTTGGGGGGGGTGATGGGTGGTGGGTGTTTGGTATGTTGGTGGAGGGGGGGTGTTTTGTGTGGGTTGGTTGTTTTGTGGGGGGGGTTTTTTGGGGAGGGGTTGTGTTTGGTTTGGGTGGGGGTGGTGTTTGTGGTTGTGGTGGGGTTGTGGTTGTAGATGGGTGGGGGGTGGATATATTTGTGGTTTTGGGAATATGTTTAGATAGGTTGATATTTGTGTTAGGGTTTGTGTGTGGTTGTTTTAGGGGGATTGAGAATTGTTATTTTTTATGGGGAAAGGGGGTTTAGGGGGGGGGGGTTGGTGTGTTTTGGATGGGGAATGTGTTGTAAGTATGTTGTGGGGGTGATTTGGGTTTGGTGGGGGTTTTTATATTGAGTGGTTGGATATTTGGGGGGGATGGGGGGATGTGAGTGGATGTTTATTTGGGGGTGTGTGTTGGTTGGTATGGGGGGTTGTTGGGGTGGTGTGTGGGGGTTGGGGGTTGTTGGTAGATGGAGGGGGGAGGGTGTTTTAGTAGGTTGGGGGTGAATGGAGGTTGGAGGGGGGGTGATTTTAGGATATGTGTTGGGGTTGGGGGTGGGGGTATTGTTTGGGGTGTGTGTGTTGGTTGGGGGGGGGTGGTGGGTGGGTGGGGGGTAGGTATGGTTGGGGGGGTGTGGGTTTGGTGGGGTATGGTGGGGGGGGGGGGGGGGGGGGTTTGTGGTGGTATTGTGGTAGGGTTGGGTGTGGGGGGGGGATATTTGGTGGGATGTGTTGGTTGAGGGTAATTGTGTTGATGTAGGTGTATGATGTATTTGTTAGTTGGTATGGGTATTGATTGTTATGATGTGGGTTATGAGGGGTGTGGGGGTTGGGGTGGTTGTGTGTGGTGTGTATTTGGGGGGGGGGGGGGGGGGGGGGTGGGGTGGTGGTGGGGGGGGGTTGGGGTTTGTGGGGTTGTGGGGGGGGGGGGGGTGGGTGGGTTGTTGGGGGGGTGGTGGGGTGGGGGGGGGGGGGGGGGGGGGGGGGGGTTTGGGGGGGGGGGGTTGTTGGTTGGGGTGGGGGGGGGGGTGGGGGGGTGGTTGTTGGGGGGGGGGTGTGGGGTTGGTTATTGTGGGGGTTGTGGGGGGTGTGGTTTTGTGGGGTGTATGTTGTGGTGTGGTTGTTTGTTTTGAGGGGGGGTGTTGTGGGTGGAGTGTGGGGTTGGTTTAGGTGGTTTGGTGTTGGTGTGGGGGGGTGGAGGGGTGTTGGGGGTTTGGGTTGGTGGGGTGTGGGTGGGGGAGTGGTGGAGGGGGGGGTTGGTGGTTATGGGTTTTGGGTAAGGTTTAGGTGGGGGTGTAGGTGTTGGGGTTTGGGTTTTGTGTGGATTGGGTTGGGGGGGGTGTTGTAGTGTGGGGGGGGGTGGGGGTGATGGGGGATTTTGTTGGGGTATGGGGGGTTTATGTGGGGGGGAGGGGGGGTGGGGGTGTGTGGTTTGGGGGTGTTTTTGGGGAGTTGTTGGGGGTTGGGGGGTGTGGGGGGGGGGGGGGGGGGGGGGGGGGGTGGGGGGTTTGGGGGGTGGTGGGGGGGTGGGGGGGTGGGGGGGATGGGGGGGTGGGGGGGGTTGGGGGGGTGGGGGGGTGTGTGGGGTGGTTGGGGGTGGTGATGTTGTATGTTGGTGGTTTGGGTTGTGGGTTGGGGGGGGGGGGGGGGGGGTGGGGGGGTGTTTTTGTGGGGTGGGGGTGGGGGGGGGGGGGGGTGGGTGTGGGTGTGTGTGGTGTTTTTTGTGTGTTGTGGGTGGTGTGGGGGTTGTGGGGTGTGGGGGGTGGGTGTATTGGGTTTGGTGTATGGGGGGGAGATGGGGTGGGGGGGGGGGGGGGGGGGGGGGGGGTTGGGTGGGGGTGTGGGAGGGGGATGGGGGGGTTTTGTGTTTGGGTGGTGGTGGGGGGGGGGTGGGGATGTGGTGGGGGGGGGGTGTGGTGTGGTTGTTGTGGTTGGTGGGGGGTGTTTGATTGTGTTTGTGTTGGGTGGTTTTTGGTTGGTTTGGGTGGGTGTGTGGGGGGGGGGGGGGGGGGGTTGGGGGGGGGGGTATATGTGGTGGTGTGATGATGGGTGGTTGTGGGTGGGGTTGGGGGTGGGGGGGGGGTGGTGTGGGAGGGGGATTGGGGTGTTGGGGGAGGGGTGTAAATAAGGGGGATGGGGGGGTTGTGATAGGGGTGGTTGGGTAGAGTTTTATGATGGGGGGGGGTGGAGGGGGGGGGGGGTAGGGGTAAATTGGGTATGTGTGGATGTTGGTGGGGGGGTTTAGGGGGGGTATTAGTTTGGGTGGGGGGGGTTTGTGGATGTGGTGTGTGTTGGGGTGTGGGGGGGGTAGGGGGGGGTGGGGGTATTTGTGGTGGGTTGGGGTATTTGTTGTGGGGGGGGTTGTGGTTGGGGTGAGGGGGGGATGGTTGGGGTGGTTGGTTGTGGGGATAATTGGTTGTGGGGGTTGGGTGGGGGGGTTGGGGGGGTTGGGGGGGGGTATTGGGGGGTTTTGTGGGGGGGGGGGGGGGGTTGGGTTTGGGGGGTGTGGTGGTTGGTGGGGTTGGGGTGGTGGGGGTTGGTGGTTGTGGTGGGGGGGGGGGTGGGTGGGGGGGGGGGTGGGTGGGGTATTGGGGGGGGGGTTGTGGGGGGGGGGTTGGGGGTGGTTGGGTTTAGGGTGTGGGTGGGGGGTTGGTGTGGAGGGTGGGGGGTGGGTTGGGGGGGGGTGGGTTTGGGATGTGGGTGGTGTGGGGGTGGGGGGTGGGGGGGGTGGGGGGGTGGGTGGTTTTGGTGGGGTGTGGGGTGGGGGGTTGGGTGGGTGGGGGGGGGGGGGGGGGTGGGTGTGAATGTGGGGGTGTATGGGGTTGATTTTTTGATTTGTGGGGTGTTGGGGGGGGGGGAGATTGGTAGGGAGGATGTTTAGTGTTGCTAAGGGGTTGTTGGGGATGTTGGTGATATGGGGGTTTAAATGTTTTTGGGGTTTTGTTGATTGTTTTTGGTAGGGGGGTGGGGGTATTGTGGTTTGGTGGGGGGGTGTGGTGTATGGTTGGGGGGGGGGGGTTGGGGGGTGGTTGTGGTTTTGGGTGGGGGTGGAGGTTGTTGTTTGGGGTTGTTGGGTGTGTTTGGTGGTGGTTGGTATTGGGAGGGGGATGGTGATGGGGTTTTTGGTGGGTGTGGGGTTAGGGGGGGTGGGTGAGTGGGTTGGTGTTGTTGGTGGGGGTGGTTGATTTGGGGTTTTGGGTTAGTTATAGAGTATGGGGGTGGGGGGGGGGTAGGGGGTTGATAGGGGGGGTGGATTTTAATTGGGTGTTGGGTGGTGGGGGGGGTGTGGGTTAGGGGGGGTTGGTTTGGGGAGAGGGTTTTGAGTTAAGGGTGTGGTTGAGGTAATGAGTTTTGTGAGTGGGGGATGGTTGGTGGGGGTAGGATTGGTATGTTGGAGGGGGAGGGAGGGGGGGGAATATAAGTGGGGTGGTTGGGTGTGGGGAGGTTGGGGGGTGGATTATGGGGTTGAGTGAGGAGGGGGGGGGGGGGGGGTTTGGAGGGGAATATTTTTGTGTTAGATGTGTGAGGGGGGGTAAGTGGGTTGGTTTGGGGTAGGGGGGTGGGTTTGTGGGGGGGGTGGGTGGGGGTTGGGTGGGGTGGGGTGGGGGTTTGGTGTTTGGTGTGGGTGGGAGGGGTGTTTGTGGGGGTGTGTGAGTGGGGTTTTTGGGGTTTTTATGGGGGGGGTGGTTGGGGGGGGGTGTTGGGGGGGGGGTGGGGGTAGTGGTGGGGTTGGTGGGTAGAGGAGTGGTTGTGTTGGTTATGGGTTTTTGGGGGGGGGGGTGTGTAGGTGGGGGGGGGTGTGGGGTGTGGGAGTTGGGTGTTGTGGGTTGGGTTGTGTGTGGGTGGGGGGTTGGGGGGGTGTAGTTTTGTGGATTGTGGGTGGGGTTGTGTGTTGTGGGGGGTTTGGGTGTTGGGTGTTTGGTTGGGTTTGTGTGTTTGATTATTGTGTTGGGGAGGGGTGGGGGTTGGTTGTGGTTGTGTTGTGTATTGTGGGGTTGGTGTGGGTGGGGTGTGTTTAGGTTGTTTGGTGTGGGGGGGGGGTGTGGGAGTGGTGGGAGGTGGGGTGTGGGGTTAGATTGTTTGGTGGTTGGGGGTTGGGTGGGGGGTGTGGTGGGGGTTTTGTTTGTTAAGGATGGTTTGGGTGGGATTGGTTGGTGTTTGATGGTGGGGGGGGGGTTTTGGGGTTGGTGTGGGGGGGGGTTGGGGTGGGGGAAGTGGTGGTTGGGTTTGGGGTAGGGGGTTGTGTGGTGGGGTGGGTTGGGGGGGGTGGTTGTGGTTGGGGGGGTGGGGGGGGGGTTTTTGTTTTTTGGGGGGGTGGGGTTGGGGGTGGAGGGGTTGGGTTGGTGGGGGGTGTTTGTTTTGTGGGGGTGTGGGTGGGGTGGTGGGGGGTGGGGGGGGGGGGGGGGGTGGTGGGGGTGGGGGTGTTTAGGGGGGGGTGGTTTGGGGGGTTTGGTTGGGGGTTGGTTTGGGGTTTGTGGGTTGTGGGGGGGGGGGGGGGGGGTGGTTTGTTGGGTTGAGGGGTTTTTGTTGGTTAGGTGTTGGTGAGTGATGGTGTGGGGTTTGGGTGGGTTTGTTTTGTGGGGGTGGGGTTGGGGTTGGGGGGGGGGTGGGATGGGTGGGGGGGGGTTGGGGTTTGGGTTTTGTGTGGTTTGTGGTGGGGGTGGGGGGTGGGTTTGGTGGGGGGGGTGGGGGTTTGTGTTGGGTGGGTGGTGGGGGGGGGTTAGTGGTTTTGTTGGGGGTGTGGGGGGGGGGGTGTGTTTGGGGGGGGTGGAGTTGGGGGGGTTTGTGGGGGGGTGGTTTGGGGTTTGTTTTGGGGGTGTGGGTTTTGGGGGGTGGTTTGTGGGGTGGGGTTTTTGTGGTTTTTTTGTTGTGTTGTGGTGGGGGGGGGGGGGTGGGGGGGGGGTGGGGTGGGGGTTTGTTGTGTTGGTGGTGGGGGGTTTGTTTTGGGGGGGGGTTGGATGGGATGGGGTTGTTGGGGGGGGTGGTGTTGTTGGTTTGTGGGGATGGGGGGGGGTTGTTTTGGGGTGTGGGGGGGTTGGGTTTGGTTGGGTAGGGGTGTGTGGTTTAGGTGTGGGGGGGAATATTGTTATGGATAGGGGGTTTTGAGAAGTTGGTTGGGTTTGGGTTTGTGGTTTGGTAGGTAGGGGGGGGGGTTTTGGGGTTGGGTGTGTGTATGGGAGTTGTTGGGGGTGTTTGTTGTTGGGGTGGGTTGGTGATTGGGGTTGATAATGTTAGAGATTTATGGGGGGGGGGGTGGTGGGTGGTTTTTGTTGTGTGTTGTGGGGTGGGGGGGGGGGGGAGGTGGGTTGGGTGGTGGGTGTGGGTTGGGGGTGGTGGGGGGGTTGTTTGGGTGTTGGTGGGGTGTGGGGGGTGGGTGGGTGGGGGGGGGTGGGTGTGGGGTGGTGGGGGGGTGGTGTGGGGGTGGGGGGTGTGTGTGGTGGTGTGTGGTGGGGTTGGTTTGGTTGGTTAGTGTAGGGTTTGTTTAAGGGTTTTGGTGTGGGGGTTGGTGGGGTTTGGGGGGGTGGGTGGGTTGGGGTGGGGGGGGGGGTGTGGTGGGTTTTGGGGGTTGTGTTGGGGGGGGGGGAGGGGGGGGGTGGGGGGGTGTGGGGTGGTTTTGGTGTTTTTTGTGGGGTTGGGGGGGTGTGGGGGTTGTGGTGGGTTTGTGTGGTGATGTGTGTGATTGGGGTGGTGGTTGTGTTGTTGGGGGGGGTGGTGGGTGGGGTGGGTGGGGTGTGGGTGGGGTTGGGGTGGGGGGGTGTGGGGGGGGGGTGGGGGGGGGGGGGGGTGGTGGTGGGGGGTGGGGGTGGGGTGTGGGTATGGTGGGGGGGGGGGGGGGGGGTGGGGGGTGGGGGGGGGGGGGGGGGGGGTGTGGGTTTGTGGGGTGGGGGGGTGTGTGGTGGTGGGGGTGGGGGGTTTGTGTGGGGTGGGGTGGGGTGTGGTGGTTGGGTGGTGTTGGGGGGTGTGGGGGGTGTGGTGTGGTTGTGTTTTGGGGGTTGGTTGTGGGTTGTGGGGGGGGTGGGTGTTTGTGTTGTGGGGGGGGGTGGGGGTTTGGGGGGGGTGGGGGGGGGGGGGGTGGTTGGTTGTGGTGGGGGGGGTGGGGGGGGGATGGGGGTGGGGTTTTGTTTGGGGGAGGGTGGGGGGGGGGTGGGGGGGGGTGGGGTGGGGGGGTGGGGTGGTGTGGGGGGGTTGTTGGTGGGGGGGGGGGGGGTGGGGTTTGGGGGGGGGGGGGGGTGGGGTGGGGGGGGGGGGGGGGGGTTTGGGGAGTGGGGGGTGTGTTTTGGGGTGGTTGGTGGGGGGGTGTTGGGGGGGGGGTGTTGTGTGGAGGGGTTGTGGAGGGTGGGTGGGGGGGGGGGTGGGGGGGGGGGGGGTGTGGTGGGGGGGGGGGGGGGGGGGGTGGGGGGGGGTGGGGGGGGGGGGGTGTGTGGGTTGGGGGGGGGGTGTGGTGGGGGGGGGGGGGGTTGGGTGGTTTTGGGGGGGGGGGGTGGTGTGTGTGTGTGTGGTTGTGGTGGGGGGGTGGTTGGGGGGGTGTTGGTTTGTTGGGGTGGGGGGGGGGGGGGTGGGTGGGGTGGGGTGGGGGGGGGTTTGGGGGGGGTGTAGTTGATGAGGTGTGGTTGTTTGGGGGGGTGTTGGATGGGGGGGGGGGGGTTTTTGTGGGGTAGGTTTGTTTTGGTTGGGGTTGATTGTGTTTGTGGTTGGGTTTGGGGTGGGTATGGGGTGTGGAGGTGTGGGGGTTTAGTTGTTGGGTGGGGGGGTGTGGGTGGGTAGGGGGTGGTGTTTTGTTTGGGGTTTTGGTTGGGGTTGGGGGGGGGGGTGGGTGTGGGTGTGTGGATTTTTGGTTGGGTTGTGTTTGGGGTGGTTTGTTTGTGTGGGGTGGTGGGTGGTGGGGTTTGGGTGGATGGTTTGATGTAGTGGTTAGGTTTGGGGGGGTTGTGGTTGGGGGGTGTGGGTGGGTGGGGGGGGGGGGGGGGTTGGGGGGGAGTTTGTTTGGTGGTGGTTTGGGGGGGGGTTGGGGGTGGGGGGGGGGGGGTGGTGGGTGGTGTGGGTAGGTTTGGGTGGGTTTTTGGGGGGTGGTGGGTGTGGGGGGGGTGGGGGGTGGGGGGGGGGGTGGTTGGGGGGGGTGGTGGGGTGGTGGTGGGGGGGGTTGTTGTTTGTTGTTGGTGTGTTTTGATGTGTGGGGTGTTGTTTTATTATTGTTGTTGGGGGTTGGGGTGTGGTGTGGGTTGTTGGGGGGGGGTGTGGGGGGGGGGGGGTTGGGGGGGGTGGGGGTGTTGTTGTGGTGTGTTGGTGGGGGTGGGTTGTGGTGGTTGTGGTGGTGGTAGGGGGGGTTGGTGGGGGTTGGGGGGTGGGTATGTGGGGGGGGGGGGGTTGGTTGGGGGGGGTGGGTGGTGGTGGGGTTGGGTGTGTGTGTGGGGGGGGTTTTTGGTTGGTGGGTTGTGTGGGGGGGTGGTGGGTTGTTTTGGTGTTGGTTTTGTGAGGGTGTGTGGGGGGGTGGTGGGTTTGGTGGTTGGGGGGTTTGTGTATGGTGGGGGGGGTGTTGGGGGGGGGGGGTGGGGGGGGTGGGGGGTGGTGGGGTTGGGTGTGTTGTGGGGGGGGGGGGGTGGTGGGGGGTGGGTGTGGGGGTTTGGGGGGTGGGTGTTGTGGGGGGGGGGGTGGGGTTTGGTGGTGTTGTGGGGGGGGGGGGGTTTTGGGTTGGTGGGTTGGAGGGTTTTGGGTAGTGGGTGGTGGTTGGGGGTGTGGGTGTTGAGTGGGTGTGGTGATATGGGGGGGGTGGGGGGGGGGGTAGGGGGGTGGTTAGGGGGAATAAGGATATAGGGGGAGGGAGGTAGGGGAGGGGTATAGTGGTTTAGGTTTGGGGATGGGGGGTGGGGGGGGTGTGGGGTGGTGATGGGGGAGGGTTGTATGGGGGGGTTGTAGGGGGTGGAGGAGGATGTGGTGTTGGGGTAATTAGGGGAGGGGGGGGAATTGTGGTGGAGGTGTGTTTTATTTGGGGGGGTTGGGGGGGATGGGTTGGAAATAATGGTTAAGGGTTGTTGTGTATGGTAATATGAGGGTAGGGGGGGGGGGGGGGGAGGAAGGGGTGGTTTGGGGATTTGGTGGTAGATATGGGGGGGGGGGGGGATGGTTGTTGGGTGAGGGGGGGGGGTGTGTGGAATTTGGGTTATATGTTGGGGGGGGTGGATGGGGGGGGGGGTTGGGGGGGGGGGGTGTTGGGTGGGTATTAGTGGTATGGGGTGGGGTGTGGGGGGGGGGTGGTTTGGTTGGGGTGTTATAGGGTGTGGGTGTGGTGGGGGTGTATGTGGGGGGTGGGGGGGGGTTGGAGGGTAGGGGGGGGGGTGGATGGTGGGTGGATTGTGTGGGGTGTTGGGGGTGAGGGTTGGGTGGGGTGGGTTGGGGTTTAGGGGTGTGGTGGGGGTGGGTGGGTTGGGGTGGGGGTGTGGGGGGTGGTGGTTTGAGGGGTTGTGTTTTGTATGGGGTTGTGGTGTTGGGAGGGGGGATGGGGGGTTGGGGGGTAGGGGGGGGGTGGGTTGGTGTGGTGGGGTTGGGTGGGGGGGGGTATGTAGGTGGGGGGGTTGTGGGGGTGGGGGGTGGTGGTGGGTGGGGTGGGTTGGGGTAGGGGATGGGGGGTGGGGGGGGGTGGGTGGGGGGTGTTGTGGGTTTTTGGTTGTTGGGGGGTGTTGGTTGTGGTGGGGGGGGTGTTGGGGGGTGTTTGTGGTGTATTGATGGGTGGGTGGGTGTGGGTGTGGGGGTTGGGGTTTTGGGATGGGGGGTTGTTTTATGGGGGGGGGGGGGGGGGGTGGGGGGGGGTGGTGTGAGGGGGGGGGGGGGGGGGGTGGGGGGGTTTTGTGAGGTTGGTGGGGGGGGGGGGTGGGGGGTGGGGGGTTGGGTTGGGGGGGTGTGGGGGGGGGTTTTGGGGGGGTGTGTGTGGGGTGGGTTTATGGGTGGTGGGGGTGGGTGGATTGAGGGGGTTGGGGGGGGGTGGGGTTTTGGAGGTGGGTGGGTGTGGGGGTGTGTGTTTGGTGGGGGTTGGGGGGGGGGGGGGTGTTGTTGGTTTGTTGGGGTGTGGTAGGGTTTATTTGTGGTGGAGGGGGGTGGGGGGGGGGGGGGGGGGTTTTGGGGGTGGTTGAGGGAGTTAGGTGATGGGTGGAGGGGTTGGGTATGGTATTTGGTTTGGGGGTGAGGGGGGGGGGTGTGGGGGGTGGTTGGGGATTGTGAGGGGGGGGTTGGGGAGGTTGGGGGGTTGTGGGATAGGTAGGGATAGGGGGATGTGGGGGGGATGGGTTTTGTTGTTTTTTTGTGGGTTGGGGTGGTGGGGTGGGTGTGGGGGTTGTGGGTATGTGGGGGGGGGGGGGGGTTTGGGGTTGTTGAGTGGGTTGTTGTGGGGGGGTTAGGGTTGGTGTTGGGTGGTGTTGGTGGTTTGTTTGTAGGGTTGTTTTTTTGTAGGGTGTATGTTGGGTGTGGTTTGGGGGGGGGGGGGGTTGGGGGGGGGTATTGGGGTGGGGGTGGTGGGGGGTGGGGTGTTTTGGTGGGGTGGTAGGTGGGGGGTGGTTGTTGGGTGTTGTTGGGGTTTGGGTGGTAGGGGGGGGGGGGGGTGGGGGGGTGGTGTGGGGTGGTGTGTTGGGTGGGGGGATGGGGGGTGGGGTGTGGGGGGGGGTGGGGGGGTTGTGGTGGTTTGTGTGGTTAGTGGGGGGGGTGGTGGGGGTTTTGTGGTGGGTGGGGTTGTGTGATGTGTGTTTTTGGGTTGTAATGGAGGTGGGGTGGGGGTTATTGGTGGGGTAGGGGTGGGGGTGTAGGGGGGGTGGGATGGTTGTGTGGGTGTTGGGTTGTGGGGGGTGGGGTTTGGGTAGTGTGTTTTGGGTGGGGTTGTGTTTTGTTGGGGTTGGGGTTTGGGGTGGGGGGGGGGGGTTTTTGGGTGGTTTGTGTTGTTGTGGGGGGGGGGGTGGGGGGGGGGGGGGGGGGTGTGGGTTGGGTGGGGGTGTGGGGGTGGGTGGTGGGTGGTAGGGTTTGGTGGTTGGGGGGTGTGGGGGGGGTGGGGTGGGGGTGGGGGGGTGGGGGTGGGTGTGGTGGTTGTGGTGTTTGGGTGGGTGGAGGGTTGGGGTGGTGGGGGTGGGGGGGGGGGGTTGGGTGGGGGGTTGTTGGTTTTGTGGAGGGGTGTGGAGGTGGTTTGTGGGGGGGGTGGGTTGGTGGGGGGTGGGGGGGGGGGGGTGGGGGGGGGGGGGGGGGTGGGGGGTGGTTGGGGTGGGGGGGGGGTTGTGGTGGGGTTGGTGGGGGGGGGATTGGTGGGGGGGGGGGGGGTGGGGGTGTGGGGGGGGGTTGGGGTGGGGGGGGGTGGGGGGGGGGGGGGGGTTGGGGGTTGGGAGGGGGGGGGGTGGGTGGGGGGGGTGGGGGGTGTTGGGTGGGGGGTGGGGGGGGGGGGGGGGGGGGTGGTGGGTGTTGGGTGGTGTTGGAGTGGTTGGGGTTGGGGGGGGGGGGGGGGGGGTGGGGTGTGGGGGGGGGGGTTGGGGGTTGGGGGTGTGGGGGGGGGGTGGGGTGGGTGGGGTGGGGGTGTGGGTGGTGGGGGTGGGGGGTGGGGGTGGGGTGGGGGTTTGGTGGGGTTGGTTTTTGGGGGGGGGGGGTTGGTGTGGGGGGGGTTTGTTTGTGGGGGGGGGTGTGGGGGGGTTGGTTGGTTGGGGGTGGGGTGGGGGGTTTGGGGGGGGGTGGGGGGGGGGGGGGTGGGGTGTGTTGGGATAGGTAGGGGGGGGGGGGTTGGTGGGATTGGGTTGTGGGTGGTGGGGTTATTTTGGGGGTTGTTTTAAATGGGAATGGGGGGGGTGTTTGGTGGGGGTTTTGTGAGGGGGGGTGGGGGTTTGGTGGGGGTTTTTTGTGGGGTTGGTTGTTAAGGGTTGGGGGAGGATATGGGTGTTTATGGAGGGGATGGTTGGTTTTTGTATGGTGTTTTGTGGTGTTGTGTATGGGGTGTTTTGGGTAGTGGGTGTTGGGTGTGTGGGTGTGTATGGGTATGTGGGTTGGGATTTGGGGGGGGGGGTTGGGTTTTGTGTGGGGGATGTTGGGGGGTTTTTGTTTGGGGTGTGATTGTGGGGGGGGGGGGGGGGGGTGGGGGGGGGGGGGGGGGGGGGGGGTGTGGTGGGTTTTGTGGGGGTTGGGGTTGGTGTTGTGGTGTTTTGGTGGGTGTATGGTGTTGGTGGTTGGGTGGTTTGGGGGGGGGGGGATTTGGTGTTGGTTTTGGTGGTATTAGGTAGATTTTTAATTTAGGTAAGGTGTGTTTATGGTAGAGTTGGATAGTGGGGGTGGGGGAGTTGTGGGTGGTGGTGGGGGGTGATTTTTTTGGGGGGGTTGTATGGGTTTTGTGGGGGGGGATTTTAGTATGGGGTTTTGTTTGGGGAGGGTGTGTGGAGGGGATTTTGGAGTGGGTGTGTTTGGTGTTTGTTGTGTTGGTGAGATGTGGGGGGATAAGGGTGGTTGTGGGAAATGTTTAAGGATAGGTTGAATAGGTTTAGGGGGATTGAGTGATTTTTTGAGGGGGAAGGTAGATGTTATGTTATTTGGGAAGGGATAAGGGGGGGGGGGGGTTGGGTGGTGATTTGGATTGGAGGTGTAATATTGTATGTTGTGGGGAGGATATGTGTAGTGGTGGGGTTATTATATGGAGTTGTTTGTTATTTGGGGGATTGGGGGTATTGTATAGGATGTTTGGGTGGGGGGGTTTGGTAGTAGGTTTGTGGTGGTGGGAGGGGAGAGTTTGGAATTGTGAAGTTGAGGAGGAGTGTGATGGATTTGTGTTTATGATAGGTATGGGTTTGGGAAAGATGTGGGGTTAAGGGTGACTTTTGAGGATGTGTTGGGGTATGGGGGTGGGGATTGTGATATGGAATGGGGGGTGGAGGTGTGGATGAATGGGGGAGGTTGTGGGTTGGAGAAGAAGGGGTTGGTTAATTTGTGGGATGGTGGGTGGGGGGGGGGTTTGTTTTTTGGTGGGATATGTTGAGGGTAGGATGGGGAAATTAGGGAGGGAAGAGGTGTATGAGGGGAATAGGTAAGAAGAATAATTAAGATGGGATTATTTTAGTTGGGGGATATGGGATGATTTATATGAGGGTTATTAGGTTTGGGTTATTTTAGGGTTGAGAGAGATGATTACTTTTTGGGGGTGGGGGGTGGTTTTGTTGGTGTGAGGGGGGGGAAGGGTAGTGGGGGGTTTGGGGGGGGGGGTGGGGTTAGGGGTAGGAAGGGGGGGGGGGGGTGAGGGTGGGGGATGGGGGTGGTGGGGTGGGGTTTATTGGTTGGTTGTGTTGTGGGATGGGGGGGGGATTTGGGGTTGTTTGGGTGGGTGGGTAGGGGGGGGGGGGTTTTTGTTTTTGTATAGTTATGAGGGGGGGAAGAGGAATTGGAGGGGGAGAATAGTATGGTGTAGGAGATGGAGTGTGTGTAGGGTGGGATGGGGGGGATAAGGGGGGTGGGGGGTATTAGTGTTTGGGATAAGGTGTGGTTTGGGGGTTTGTGTTTTTGTGTGGGGGGTTGGGTGGAGGGGGGGGGGGGGGGGGGGGTGGGGGGTGAGTGTGAGGTAGGGGGTGTTTGGGGGGTTATGGGAGAGGTTGGAGGTGGTTGTTTGTGGGTGGGGGGGTGGGGGGTTGGTGTGGGTTGGTGGGGGGGGGGGTGGTGTTTGGGGGGGGGGGTGGGTGTTTGTGGGGTGGGGGGGTTTGTGGTTGTGGGGGGTTGGGTGGTTTTGTTTGTGGGTGGGGGTATTGTGGGGGGGTTGGGGGGGTTTGGAGGTGGGTGTGGGGGGGTGGGGGGGGGGGGGGGGGGGGGGGGGGTGTTGTGGGGGGGGGTGGGGGGGGGGGGTGGGGGGGGGGGGGGTGGGGGGGGGGGGGGGTGGGGGGGGTAGGGGGGGTTTTGTGGTGGGTTGGTGGGGGTGGTGGGGTAGGGGTGTGGTGGTTGGGGGGGGGGGGGGGGGGGGGGGGGGTGGGGGGGGGGGGGGGTGTTGGGGGGGTGGGGGTGTGGGGGGGGGCTGTTGGATGGGGGGGGGGGGGGGGGTGGTTGTGTGGGGGGGTTGGGGGGTGTGGGGGTGTGGGGGTGGGGGGGGGGGGTGGGTTGGGGATGGGATTGGGGGGGGTGGTTTGGGTTGGTTTGGGTGGGTGGGTGGGGGGGGGGGGGGGGGGGAGGTGGTGGGGGGGGGGGTGTGGTTGGGTGTGGGTTGGGGGGGGTGTGGGGGTGTGGTTTGGGGGGGTGTGTGGTGTTTTGAGTTATTTGATTGTGGGTTTGGGTTTTGGGTGTGGGGGTTTTTGGGTGGGTTGTTGTGTGGTGTTGGGGGTGGGGGGGGGGGTGGGGGGGGGGGGGGGGGGGGGTTGGGGGTTGGGGGGGGTTTGGGGTGGGTGGGGGGGTTTTGTGGGGGGTTGGGGTGGGTTGTGGGTGGTGGGTTGTTAGGATGGGGGGGGTGGTTGGGGGGGGTTTTTTTTGGGTTATGGGGGGGTGGGGAGTGGGGTGGTTGTTGGGTGGGGTTTTGTGGGTGTGTTTTGTTGTGGTGATATTTTGGTATAGGGGGGGGTAATGGGTGGTTATGTGGGTTGGTGTTGGGGGAATATATTAGGAGGGTGTGTTTTGGGTGAGGGGGGGGGGGATTTTGTTGTTTTTGTGTTGTGTGTATATTTGGTGTTGGGTTAGTGTTTGTTTGGTGGGGGGTGTGGGGGGGTGGGGGTTGGGGGGTTGGTGGGGGGGGGGGTGTTGGTAGGTGGTGTGGTGGGTGGGGTTGGGGTGGGGTGTGGTTGGGGTGGTTGGGTTGTGTTGTGGGTGTTGTGGGGGGGTGTGGATGGGGGAGTGGTAGGGGTTGGGGGGTAGTGGGGGGGGTGTTGGGGGGTTGGTTTTGTTGATTTGTGTGTGAGGGGGGTATGGAGATAGTAGGAAGGGGGGGAGGTTTGGGTTTAGGATAGGATGGTGGTGTGTATTTGTGGGTTGGGGTGGTTGGGTGGTGGGGGGATTGTAGGGGGGTTAAGGATTTGGTTTTGGGGGGAGGTTTAGTGGGGTAGGGGATGTTTGGAGAATATGTATGGGGTTTGTTGTGTTTTGTATTTTTTGTAAGTTTTGTGAATATGGGATGTGTTTGGTGGGTAGGTTAGTGATATTTTGGGTTTTTGGGGGTTTTGTTGTATTGGGGGTTTAAATGGTGTGTGGTTTTTGTGGATGGGGTTTTTGGATGGGTTTTGTGTATGGGTGGGGTTGGTTAAGGGATTGGGGGGATGTGGTGGATTGTAGTAGAATGGAGGAAAGGATTAATGGGAATTTAGGGGGTTTGTGTTTGGGGGGTTGGGATTGTTTGGGGGGTATTGTTATGGGGGGGGATATGTGGGTAGGTTGAGGGGGGGGGTGAGTGGGGGGGGTTATTTGGGGGGGTGTTGTATTTGGTGTTTTGGGGGTTTTTTTAGTGTTAGGGGGAGGGGGGGGGTGTTGTTAGGGGGGGGGGGTGTATATTTATGTTTTGTGTGTTTGTTGGGGGGGGGTGTGTGGGTTTTGGGGTAGGGTTGGTGGAGGATGTAGAGTTGAGGGGTTATTGTGGTGGATTTTTTTTGGAGTGGGGGGTGTTGGTGGGGGGGTGGTGATTGTGGTTTGATTTGGGTGATTGTTGGGGGGGGGGGTGGTTGGGGGGGGGGTGTTGGGGGGGGGGGGGGTGGGGGGGGGGGGTGGGTGTGGGGGGGGGGGGGGGGGGGGGATGGGTTGGGGGGGGTGGTGTGTGTGTGTGGGGTTGGGTAGGGTTTTGTGGGGGGTTGGGGGGGGGTGGTGGGTGGGGTTTGGGGGGGGGGGGGGGGGTGTGGGGGTGGGGTGTGTGGGTTGGGGGTGGGGGGGGGTGTTGGGGTGTGGGGTTTTGGGGGGTGTTTTGGGGGGGGGTTGGGGGGGGGTGTTGGGGGGGGGGGGGGTGGGGGTTGGGGAGGTGTGTGGGGTGTGGTTTGGGGTTTTGGTTGTGGGGGGGGTGTGGGGGTTGGGTGTGTGGGGTTGGGGGGGGGGGGTTATGTTTGGGGGGGGTGTTGTGGGGGGTGGGTGGGGGGGGGGGGGGGTGTTGTGTTGTGGGGGTTGTTGGGGTGGGTTGTGTGTATTTTGGTTGGGTGGTTGTTTGTGGTAGTTGGTGGGGGTTGTTGTGGGTGTTTTGTTGGGGGGGGGTGGGTGGGGGGGTGGTGTTTGGTTGGGGTTGTTGGTGTTTTGTGTGTGTTGGGGTGGGTTGTGGTGGTGTGTTGTGGGGGGGTTTGGGGGTGGGGGTGGGGGGGGGTGGGGGGTTTTTGGTTTGGGGGGGGGGGTGGGGGGGGGGGGGGGGTGGGGGGGGGGGGGGGGTGGGGGGGGGGGGGTGGTGGTTGGGTTGGGTGGTGGGGTGTGTTTGTGGTGGGGGGGGTGGTGGGGGGGGGGGGTGTGGGGGGGGTTGGGGTGTGGTGTGGGGGTAGTGGGGGGGGGGTTGGGTGGTTTGTGTGGGGGTGTTGGGGGGTGGGGGTTGTTGGGGGGGGTGGGGGGGGGGGTGTTGGTTGGTTGGGGGGGTGGGGTTGGTGGTTTTTGTTGTTGGTGGGGTGGTTTGGTGGGGGGGTGGGGGGGGGGGTTGGGGGGGGTTGGGGGGGGTGGGTGGGGGGGTGGGGGGGGGGGGGGGGTGGGGTTGGGGGTGTTGGGGGGGGGTTGGTGGGTGGGGTTGGTTTGGTTGTTGGTTGGGTTGGGGGGGTGGGGGGGGGGGGGGGGGGGGTTGGGGTTGTGGGGTGTGGTGGGTGTGGGGTTGGTGTGTTGGTGGGGGATTGGGGGGTGGGTTGGGTTGGGGGAGGGTGGGGTGGGGGGGGGGGGGGGGTGGGTGGGGGGGGGTGGTGGGTTGGGGTGGGGTGTCGGTTGTTGGGGGGGTGGGGGGGTGTGGGTGGTGGGGGTGGGGGTGGGGGGGGGGGGGGGGTGGTGTGGGGGGTGGGGGTGGGTGGGGGGGGGGAAATTGTTTTTATTGTATTTTTGGGGTTTAGATAATGTGGGTTGGGAGTTGGTTGGAGAAGAGGGGGGGGGGGGGGAGATTGGGGAGTTATAGTGGTGATATTTTTTTTGGGGGTTATGTTTGTGAGTTTGTAATATGGATTGTTGTTTTAGGGTTATATTAGGTTGGGGTGGGGGGGGGTTTTGGGGGGGGGGGGGGGAGTGTTTGTTTGTGTAGGGATGGGGGTGGTGATAGGTTTGGGGGGGTTGTATGGGGGATGGGAATGTGGGGGGGGTTGTATTTTTTGTTAGTGGGGGATGGGGTGTGGTGTGATTTGGGGTTTAGGGTGGTTTTGGGGGTAAGGTTAGGGTGGGTTGTATGATTGTGGGGATTTGGGGTTGTTGGGGGGGTTTGTGTTTGTGGTGGGGTTTTTAGGGTGAGTTGGTTGGTTTTTGGTGGTTTGTATGGTTTGGGTTGTTTGGTTGTGAGTGATGGTGGGGTGTGAGTTGGGGGGGAAGGTTGGAGTGTTTGGGGGGGTGGGTGTTGGGATGTATTGGTTGGTTGATGTTTATTGGGGGTGAGTGGGGGATGTGGTAGGTAGGTATGGAGGTAGGGGTTGGTGGGGTGGGTTGGTTGGGGGGGGTGGTGTTGGTGGGTTGGGGGTGGGGGGTTGGTTTGGGGGGTGTGGGTGGGTGGTGGGTGGGGTGGGGGGGGTGGGGGTGGGGGTTTTTGTGGGTTGTGTTGTGGTTGGGGTGGGTTGGGGTGGGGGGGGGTGGTGGGGTGGGTTTTGTTGGTTTGGGTTTGGGGGGGTGGGGGTGGGGTGGGGGGATGGTTGGGGGGTGAGGGTGGTGGTGGTGGTTGGTTTGGGTTGTGTTGGGGGGGTGGGGGGGGGGGGGTGGGGTGTGGGTTGTTTTGGTGGGGTTTTTGGGTGTGGTGTGGGTAGGGGGTTGTGGTGTGGGTGTGGGGTTGTGGTTGTGAGTGGTTTGTTGTTGTAGGGGGTGTTGGGGGTTGGGTGGTGGGGTGGTGGTGGGGTTTGGGTATTTGGGGTTGGGGGTGTGTGGGTGGGTTGTGGGGGGGGGGGTGGGGGGGGGGGGGGGGGGTGTGGTGGGGGTTGTTGTGGGGGGGGGGGTTTGGGGGTGGGGGGGGGGGGTGGTGATGGTGGTGATGGGGGGGGGGGGGGGTTGTGTTTGTGTGGTGGGGGGAGTAGGTGGGGTAGGAGGGGGGGTAATGAGGTGGTGATGGTTTTTGGTTTGGGTGGGGTGGTGTGGGGGATTTGGTGTGTTGGGGTGGTGTGGTTGGTTTGGGTGTTTGTTGGTGTTTGGTTGGGTGATTGTATTTGTTTTGGGGTGTGGGGATTTGGGGGGGGGGTGGATGTTGGGGGTGGGGATGTGGTGTGGTATTGATGGGGTTTGGGTTGTTGATGGGAGGGGGATATGTTTAGGGGTGGAGGGGGTGGGGGGTGGGTAGGTTGTTGGGAGGGTGGATGGGGGGGAGGGATTTGTGTTGGGGGGGATGGATGGTGTGGGGGTTGGTGGGGGAGGGTGAGAATGGTTTGGGTTTTGGTTGAGGGTGGTTGGTTGGGGGGGGGGTAAGGATGAGGGGTTAATATATAAGGTGATGGAGGGTAGGGGGGTATTTGAGTGGTGTAGAGAGGAGTTGTGGATGGGTGGAGGGGGGGGGGGGTGGGGGGGGGGGTGGGGGGTGAGGGTTGGGGGGGGGTTTGGTGGTGGGGGGGTTAAGGGGGGGGTGTTGGGGTGGGGGGGTGTGTTTTGGGGGTTTTTTGGGTGAGTGTAGGGTGGGGATTTGTTTTTGGTGGGGGGGGGGGTTTGGAGGAGATGAGTGTTTGATTTTTTTGGGGGGGGGGGGGGTGTGGTGGGGGGGTTGGTTGTTTGGGTGGGGGGGGGGGGGATATGTATGGGTATGTGTGTGGGGGGGTTGGGGTGGGTAATTTTTTGTAGGTGTTTTTTGATATGGGTATGTGAGGTAATTTTGATTTGGGGGTTGGTGTGTATTGGATAAAGTGGGTTGGGGGGGTGGGGGATGGGGGGTGTGTTTGGGGGATGGGTTGATTGGTAAATGAGGGGGGGGGGTTAGGAGGTATGGGGGTTTTTATTTGGTGTGTGGTGATGGTTGGGGTTTTGGGTGGGGGTGTTAGGGTTTGTGAGGTTTTTTGGTAGGATGGTTATGGTTGGGGATTTTTTTTTTGTTGTTGATTGGTGGTTAGGGGGGTGTGATTTTGTTGTTTTTGTTGATGGGTTGGGTTTTGTTATGGGTGGTGAATGGGATTGAGGGGGTGGGTTTGGGGGGGGGGGGTGTTATTTTTGGTTTTTGGTTTTGTTTGATGGGGTGGGGGGGTGGGGGGGGATTGTGGGGGGGGGTGGGGGTGGGGTGGTGGGGGGGGGGGGGGGTGTTGGGGTGGTGTTGTTGGGGGGGTTGGGGGTTTGTTGGTGTGTTTTTGGTGGGTGGGATGGGGGTGAGGGTTGGGTTATATGTGGGGGGGGTAGTTGTATGTAGTTGTTAGTGGGATGGGGGGGTTTGGGTTAAAATTTTTAATGTATTTTGTTGTTTGTGTTGTTGTTGGATTTTGTTTGGATTGTGTGTTGGTGGTGTGTAGGGGTGGGTTTTGTTTTGTTTTTAGATTAGGGTGGTTTGATTGATGAAATAGATGGAGGTTAGGGTTTGTGGGGGGATTTGTTTGGGGGGTGGGGTTAGGGGGTGGGGTGGTGGATAGGGAAGGTGGGAGAAGGATGGATGTGGGAGTTAGAGATTGGGTATATGGGGATTTTGGAGGGGGAATTATGGGGAGGGTAGGTATGGGGATGTGGTTTTTATGTAGGAAAATTTAGTGTGGAGTTATTGGGGGATGGAGTGTAGAAGATGAAGGGTTTAGTAGGAGAGGTATGTTTTGTTGGTTGAGAGGGGAGGGTGTGGGGGGGTAGGGGGGTGGGGGGATTGGGTGGTGGATATGTTGGGTTGGTTTTATGGGGGGTTTGGTTGGAGGGGGGTGGTGTGTATTGTTTGGGGTGGTGGGTGTGTGGGGGGTTTGATGTGGGGGGGGGGTGGGGGGGGGTGGTGGTGTTTGTGGTGGTGGGGTGTGGGGGTTGGGGTTGGGGTGGTGGGTGTTTGGGTGTTGGTGTTGTGTGGGGGTGATTAGTGTGAGAATGGGGGGGGGTGGGGGGGGGGGGGGGGTGGGGGGGGGTGGGGGGTTTGGTTTGTGGTGGGGGGGGGTGTTGGGTGGGTTTGTGGGGTTGGGGTGGGGGGGGGGGGGGGGGGGTGGGTGGTGTGGGGGGTTGGGGGGTTGGGGGGTTGGGAGGGTGGGTGGGTGGATTGGTGGTGGTGTGGGTTTGGGGGTGGTGGGTTTTGTGGATGTGGTGTGGGGGGTGTTGGGGGGGGGTTGGGGGGGGTTTGTTGGGTTTTTGGGGTGGTGGGGTTTTGTTTATGTGGTGGGGGGGTGGTGTATTTGGATGGGTTTGGGGTGAGGTGGTTGTTTTGGGGGGGGGGGGGGGGGGTGGAGTGTGGGGGGTGTGGGGGTGGATTGTAATGGGGGTATGTAGGTTTGGTGGGGTGTGGGGGGGGGGGTGGGGTTGGGGGGGGGTTGAGGGGGTGGGTGTTGTGGTTGGGGGGGGGGGGTGGGGGTTTGTGGGGTGGTGGGTGGGGGGGGGGGGTTTGGTTTTTGTTTATAATGTGGGTTTGGGGGTGGTGGGGTGTGGTAGTGGGGGGGGGGGGTGGTGTGGGGGGTGGGGGGGGGGGGGGGTGTGGGGGGGGTATGTGTGGGGTTGGTGGGGGTTGGGTTTTGGGTGGGGGGGGGGGGTGTTGGGGGTTTGGGGGTGGGGGGGGTGGGGGGGGGGGGGGGGGGGGTTGGGGGGTTGGGGGGTGTTTGTTGTGTGGGGTTAGTTTTTATAGGGGTTGGGGGGGTGGGGGGGGGTGGGGGTTGGGGTGGGGTGTTGGGGGTTGGTGGGTTTGAGGTATGGTGGGGGGGAGGGTTGTGGTGGGTTGTGGTTTGTGGGGTATGGTGGTGGGTGGGGTGATGGGATGGTAGGGGGGGGTGTTGGTTGGGGGTTGGGTTGGGGGGGGGGTTTGTTGGGGGTGTTGGGGGGTGGTTTTGTTGGGTGGGGGGGATGGGGGGGTGTGTGTGGAGTAATGAGGAGGGGGTGGGGTGGATGGGTGGTATGGGGTGGTATGTGGGGTGTGGTGGTTTATTGGGGGGGGGGGTGGGGTTGTTGTGGTTGGTGTTGGGGGGGGTGGTTGTTTGTGGTATTGGTTTGTTGGGGTGGGGTAGGGGGAGGGGGGTTGTGGTGGGGGTGTGGGGGGGGGTAGTGGGGGGGGGTTGTGGGTGGGGTTTGTGGGGGGGTTGGGGGTTGATGGGTGGGGGGTTTGGGGGGGGGTTTGGGGGGGGGGGTTGGGTGTTGGGGTTGGGTGTGGATTGTTGGAATGGTGGTGAGGGGGGGGGGGGGGTTTGGTGGTTTTGTGGGTTGGTGGGGTGTTGGTGGGGGGGTGGGGGGGGGGGGGGGGGTGTTTGGTGGTGGGTATGGTTTATGGTGATGGGGAGGGAGTTGGGATGGGTTTTGATTGGGGGTGGGAGGGGGGGGGGGGTGAGGGGGGGTAGATGGGGGGGGATGAGATGTGGATAGATAGGTAGGGGGGTTGGGGGTGATTTTAGGGAGGAGGATGTGGGATGGTGAATTATGTTGGTATATAGGATGTGTGTTTTTGGGGAGTGGTAGGGAGAGGTAATAGTGATGAGTAATTTATGTTGGAATATTTGGGGGGGGATAGGGGATAGGTATGGTGAGGGATGTGGAGGGTGAATGTAGGTTATGTAGAGGTTTTATAATTTTATGGATAATTTAGTTATGGGGGGGGGGGGGTATTGGGGGGGGGTAGGTGGGGGGGGGGTGGGGGTTATGTGGGGGGGGAATTGAGAAAAGGGGTAGGTGATAAGGGGGTGGTGTTTGTTTTGATGGTGATTAGATTGGGGGTGTTGGTGGGATGGGGTGTGTTTGGGGGGTGTGGGTTGGGAGTGGTATTTGTGTAGAGGATTGGAGGAGGGTGGGGTTGGGTTGGGTATTGTTGTGATGTGGTGTTTTGTGGGGGTGTTGATTGTGGGGGAATAAGTGTAGGGATGTTTTGTGAAGAGGGAGATAAGGGGGGGGGGATGAAATTTGGAGGGGTGGGTGTTATATGGGAGGAAGGGTTTGGGTGTGTTGGGGAGTGGGATTAGTGGGTGGTTAGGGGGGGGAGGGGTGGGGGGTTAGATTGGGTTGTGATGTTGGGGGGTTGTGGGGTGGTGTTGTGGGGGGTGGTTTGGGGGGTGGGGGGGGGTTTTTGTGGGGTGTTGGGTTTTTGGAGGGTTGGAGGGGGGGGTGGTGTGGTGGTGGGGGTGTTGTTGTTGGGTGGGGGGGTGTGTGTGGGGGTGGATTTGTGGGGTGTTGGATGGGGGGGGGATTGTGGGGTGGGGTTTTGGGGGTTTGGGGTTAGGGTAGTTGAGTGGTGGGGGGGGGTTTGGTGGTGGGTGAGAGGAAGGGTGGGTTGGTGGTTGTAGGGGTTATGGATTGGGGTAATGGGGAAGTTTATTTGTGTGTTAGGGGGAGGGGTTAGGGTGGGGGTAGGGATAGGTGGGGTGGGGGTTTGGGGGGTTTTTGGGGTGTGGGGTTATGGGGAGTATGGGTGGTGTGGGTGGTAGATGGGAGGTGTATGGAGGGGGGATGGGTGGGGGGGTGGGGGAGGGGGGTGGGATAGGTGGGGAAGGTTGGGGGGGGATGGGTGTGTGGGTTTGGGGGGATGGGGGGGGGATGGGGATGGGAGGGGGTAAGGTGGGGATTGTTTGGATAGGGGATAGGGGGTATGGGGGGTGGGGGGGTTGTAGGATGGTTTGGATGGAGGGGTGAATTTAGTTTGGGGGGGGTGTTGGGGTGGTGGGGATAGGGATGGTTGGTGGGGGGGATGGTTGATATGGGGGTGGATTGTGGGTGATGGATGGGTGTGGTGAGGTGGTGTGTTTGATTGGAGGTGAGTGGTGGTAGGGGGTGTTTTTAGGTTGTTGAGGGGATGGAATATGGTTGGGGGAATTTGAGGGGGGGGGGTGGGGGATTTTGTGAGGGGGGGGTATTGGGGGGGGTGTTGGGAATGGGGTGGTGGAGGGGGATTGGGTGTAATGGGGGGGTTTGGGGGGAATGGGGGGTGGGGGGGTTGGGGGGGGTTAGTTGGAGGTTTTGGGGGGGGGGGTGGATGAATGGGGGGGGGGGAAATTGGTTTGAAGGAGTGGGGGTATTGTAGTGGTAAGAATGGGAAAGGGGGGGTGTTTGGATGAGGGTGATTGAGAGGGTGGGGTTTGGTGGGGGGGGTTATGATAGGTTTTAAGTTAAGGGTTTAGTGGGGGGTAGGATTAAATGGAGATTTAATTGAGGGGGAGAGGTATGGAAAGTTTAGAGGGTGAGTTATAGGTGATGGATGGGGTGTTTTGGGAGTGGAGAATGTTTATGTTGTGTGTTTGTGAGTTATGTTGGATTTGGTATGTATATGGGGGGGTTGAATGTGGATGGGGGATTTGGGTGGGGGGATTTGGGTATGGGGATTGATGTGGGTGGGGGGTGGGGGGGGGTGTTGGGGTGTGGGTGTGGGTGTGGAGGGGGTTTTGTGGTAGTGGGGTTGGGGGGGTTAGGGTGAATTTATGGATTGGATTGATTTTTTATGTGATTGTGTTGGGTGGGGGGGGATATGAGGAAGGAATAATGGGTTTAAGGTTAGGTAGAATTTTAATGATCGGTAGGGTGGATTTGGAAAGAGTTTGGGATATGGTTTGGTGGGATTTTGATTAGTTGGAGGGGATATTTTATTGGGGGGGGGGGGTTGTATGGTGTGTGGGGGGGGATTTTAGTATGGGGTTTTGTTGGTATGTGGTTGTGAAGGGGATTGTTGGAGTGGGTTGTTTGTGTTTGTGGTGTGGAGAGTGGGGTGGTAATTGGTGGTGTTGGGGGGTAAGTTTAAGATAGGTTGGATATTGTTTAGGGATTGAGAGAGTTGTTTTTAGGGGGATGAGATTGTTTATTTTTTATGGGGAAAGGGATAAGGGGGGGTTGGGTGGGTGTTTTTGGGATTGGGATGTGGTATAAAAAGTATGTATGTGTGATGTATATGTGTTTTAGGTTTTTGGTTAAGATGATGGAGATTTTTTTGATGGAAAAATGGTGCTGTTGCATATAAACTAACATGAACGAGATGGTTTAATTGAAGTAAGTAAGAGTTTTAATGATGATGATGGAGTTTGGGGGAATTTTCAAGAAAGATGAATCGATATCAAGTCAAAAAAAATACAATGGATTGGTTTGGATATGAGGTATGCAATTGTAGTCCATTATTATGAATAGTAGGTGTATTGTTGTTGGTGGGATATGGAAAGGGTGTGATGTTTAATAAAGGTTTTGGGAGGTGTGTTGTGGTGGGGGAGGTAATAAGGGTTGTGTAAATTTGGTGGATGGTGGGTTTTTGGTGTGTTTTTTTTTTGGTGGATAATTTGTATGTAGGTATTTGGGAAATAGGGAGGGAATAGGAAGTATTAGGGAAAATATTAATAATACTATAGTAATAGATTATTTTTAGTTTGGAATATGTGATGATTTTATATTAGGTTTTATTAGGTTTTGGTATTTTAGATGAGATATATTAAAATATTAGGGGGTGGGGTGTTTGTGTGTGTGAGGTGGGGGGAATTGGTATGGGGTGTTTGGGGGGGGTGGGGGGTGTTTGGGGGGGTGTGTTTAAAAAGGGGGGGTAGGAAGGGTGGGGGGGGGGAGTGGGAGGTGGGGGTGGGTGTTTGTTTAAGGTGGGTTGATTGTGTTTATGGGGGGGGATTGGGGTTTGTTTGGTTGAGGGGGATGTTGGGTGTGGGTTTTTTTTTTGTATAGTTGGATGAGGGGGGATAGTAATTGGGAGGGGAGATAGAGTTGTAGTTAATGATTTTTTAGGTTGGAATTTGTTTTATATATGGGGGTGGGGATAAGTTTTTTGGTATAAGAAGTGGGTTTTGGGGGGAGTATTAGGAAGTTTTAGTATTGATGGTGGGGGGGGGGGGGGGTAGGGTTTTAGTTGAATGATGGAGGTGATGGGGTAAAGGAGGATTTATGAGGAGGTTTATGAGTTAGGTAGGATTTTTTTAATTAAGAGGGGTATGGGGTTGGGGTGGGGGATTTGTAAAAACGCAAAAATTTGGGGGTTGGTTGTGTTTGATGTAGGTGAATTTAGTGTTCTTGGGTTATTTATTGTGGGGGAGGGATGTGGTTTTGTAAGTGTGGTTATATTATTTATTTTAGGGGGGATTTTTTGGGGGGGTGTGGGTGAGGTTATTGGGTTTTGAGTGGGTTTGTTTTTGTGTGTGGATGGTTGGTTGGGGGTGGGGTAAAGGTGTTTAATGGGTTGTATATCAGAGCAATTTCCTATTTATTAATCATATTTATAGTATTATTGTTTAGTTATTTTTGTAATTTTTTTTTTTTGTCAGTTGGTTATATTTTATTTTATGTTTATGTGTTTGAGCCTCGATTATTTGGTTGTGGATTTTTTACTAGGTGCAATTTATGAGGATTGTTGCGATTTTATGGGGTGGGTTTGGGTGGTAGGATGGGGGTTATGGGGATGAATTGGTATTGATATGTTTTAGGGAGTTGGGGGGGGGTGTGAAGATGTTTGGGGGTGAGTATATTGATTTGGAAGTGTTTTTTGATGTTATTGTTTTTTTGATATGTGTTTATAGTTAATTGAAGTTGGTTTGGATAAGGGATTATGGGAATACGTTATGAAATTGAGATGGATTATATGGGTGGTATGTTTGTTGGGGGTATGTGGTAGGGGAATTGGTGGTAGTGATTGGTGAAATGTAGGTGATGGGTATTGATAGTCATGGGTAGGTAGAAATTATATGTGGTGATGGGGGGTAGGGAAAATTTGGTAAAGTGATGTATATGAGTGTTTAATATTTAGTTTATTAGATTTGATGGATTTACTGATGTATAATAATGGATATGGTTAAGTGAGTATTGTGAAATTATGTTAGTGTGTTGGAAAATTATGGATGAATAATTTTGGGAGATTGGGGGGGGAATATTTTATATATTTATTAATGATCATAAATTGGAATTTAATGGAATGTTTATTGTATTTTTAGGGTGTGTGAATTGGGGAATTTTGGGGGTATACTGTAATAGTTGTGGATTATGAAGGGGGTTTGTTTTGTGGAGGATGGTGTTTTTTGATAGATGATTAATTGTAGGGTGTTGCTTATTGTATTTTAATGGTTGGGGGGTATTTTGTTGTTTAATGGTTTTGAAATGTTGATTGATTTGATTGTGAATGAGATAGGGAAGGGGGGGAGATGAAGTTATGACATTTAATTAGTGATTATATTATGATAGTTAGTTTGTGATGGTGGGATTGTAGGAAAAGATTGGATTTTGGCTTTTTTTTATATAATAATGAATATAAGTAGGAATTATGTGATGTATTTTTTTTAAATTATATTACATGCTTTATGGAATGGATATTATTGTGTAATTAAAATGTGCAAGAATGTAGTTATAGTTATATGTTATTCTTGTGGGATTAGAAAGTTTTTTTGTGTTATTTTTAGGGATTGTATAAGACGGTTTGACAAAGATTATAATGATGTGGAGATGTAAAATGAAGGTGTTACTTGGAGGTATTAGGAAGAACTTAGGAGGTAGGTATAAAGGGATAGTGGGTTTGGTTTAGTTAAATTTATTTTATTGGAATTATAATTTGCAATATGTGTTTTTTGATGATGGGGTTGTGGATTTTGTTGTTATGTTTGGGTTGTGTGGATTATTTTTAAAATGTAATCAATCTGATAATGTAGGGGTGGGTGTTGAAGAATATGTGGGGGGTTTTAATATAGATTTGGTGAATGTTTGGGGTGTGGTTAATAGTTTAGGGGGTTTTTGGGAAGGGATTAATGATTAGATTAATGTGAGTAATTAGATAATTATAGTTAGTTTGTAAGAATCAGGGGTATTATAAGATGTTAGGAAAGGGATAGGAGGAGAAAGTAGGAAGGGTGGAGTTTGTTGTGGATAGGTGTGGATTTATTGTTTTTTGATAGGAGGATTTTGTGTATGATTTGAATTGATTGTAAAACACCAGAAAATGAGATGGATGGAGGGGTAGATTGTAATTGGAATGAATGTGAAGTGTGTGTTATGGGATGGTTGGGTTAATGGTGGTTTTAAATGAGTTTTTTTTATTTTTTAATAGGGGGTTTGATAAAGTATCGGTGCATGAATTCATATGTTAAAAAGATATAGTCCACAAATTGGTAAAAAAGGGGGGTGTGAATGGTGGTATAAGGTTTTGGGATGTTTACGTGTAGGTACTGATGAGAACTATGTACAGATATAGGTAAAATGATAATATGTGGGGATATTACCCCACCCCAAAATGGGATTTGGGGTAGAGGATAAGAGTCAGAGGTATCGCACAATATTAATATAATGCGTGGGTATTTTTTGGGAGAATATAATATGACGAATGTTATGAATATAGTGAAAATGTAATGAGGGATGAATGATTGATAAGAGAAACAGAGATTTTTAATTATAATTTGATAGTGGAGATGTGTTTGTGATTAGATTAGGATTGTGAAGAGGTAATAGGAGGTTGTTGGGGATATAAAATGTATGAATTTATATTTGGGGGTGTTATGTGTTCGTGTTGTCTTTTGTTATTTTGTGAATACAATATATGGTATAGGTGTTGGGTGATTGTTGTTTTGAGTGTGGGGTTTTGTATTTAATGATGGAATAGTGGATGTAGTTAGTTAAATGATGATGGGGGGTATTATGTGGATGTGGATTGTGGGGGGGGAATTTGTTTTGAATATGTTGAAGTGTATTTTGGTATGTTGGTAGATTTGATGTTATTGTTGTTGGGTTGGTTTAGATAAGGGTTTTAGGTGGTGGATATTTGAAATAGGGGGTTGTATGTTAAGATGGAAGTTATGTAGTTTGATGAAAGTATTGTTTGTGGGGTTAGTGTTGTTTATTTTGGTTTGTTGTAGGTGGAGGTTGGGTTTTTATGGGTGGTAAGGGTGGGATGGAATTAGGGGGGAATTAAGGGTGGATTTATAGTTGATGATAGGGGGATTTGTTTGTGGGTGGTTGTGTGGTGGTTTTTTTAAATTTGAGTGGAGGGTTTTTTATTAAGTAGGTGAGAGGAGATAGTATTGTGGAAAGGATTTAAATGGTTATTGTTAGGGTAAGTGTTTTTGGGTGGGGTGGGATGTGAGTTGTTTATGTGATTTGGATTTGGGAGAGTATGAATGTTGTTATGGGGGATTGTTTGAGGGTGAGGGTAATGTGTTATGGTGTGGGTTTGTTTGGAAAATTGTTTTTTATTGGTATTGGTTGGGTTTATATAATGTGGGTTGTGAAGTTGGTTTGGAGAATAGGGGGGGAGATTGGGAGTGTATAGTAGGGGTTGAGATTTTTTTTGTGGGTTAGTTTGTAGTTGAAATATGGGGATTGTATATTTTTTTAGGGTAGTATAAGTTTGGGTTGTTTTGGAGGGTTTTTGAAAGATTAGAGGTAATAAATTATTGGGGTTTAAGGAAGGGAATTGGGGGGGTTGTTTTTTTGGTTTGGGGGGGGGGGTTGGGGGTGATGGGTAGATATGGTTTGGGGGGGTTGGTTTGGGGGAAGGTAAGGGGAGGGTGTATGATTTGTGTTTATTTATGAAGGGTGTTTGTTAAGTGTGTTGGATTTGATTTGGGAGGTTGTGGTGGTTTGTATTGGTGGAGATGTTGTTTTTGTATTAGGTTTTTGATGGGAGGAGGAGATGTGTGTAAAGGAATGGATTTTGGGTTGGGTTTTTGATTTTAATGAAGTATGAGTTTAATGAGGGGGTGGGTATGATGGTTGTAGGTTTAGTGTAGGGAGGAGGGGTGGGGGTTTGGGAATGGGTGAGTAGTGGTGTGG